CTTATTTTTTAATCACATCTCGTATATATACTGTGACGTGGTATTCGCGCCGCTCTTCACTCGCCACAAAAATTAGTTTTCCGCGAGAGCTCGGAAATGCGATCTGTTCAAGAAAGCGCCAAGATCCTGGACGAGCGGAACGGCGAAACAGACCCCCAACGGACCAACCTGCGCTGAGCTGCCGTGCTTTATTGCTCTTTTGCTGCTGCATGGCTTGAAATTTAGAGCTGCTGGCTTCCTTGCTGCTTATTAGGAGCCGCTAATTAGTCCGAAAACATCTTTATCCGCACCACGGCATGTTAGCTATCACGATCCTGCGAGCGTTCGAATTTCGCGCCCCGCGGATCTTGCTGCCTAGCGTGAGCTTGCGAGCTACGCCACGCAACTCCGCGGCCTGATTGGTCCACTTGATCTACCCCACGCGACCTTAGCGCTATCCGGCATATCGACCGCGTATCGATCCGGATGATCGCGCTTTTGGTCGCGATCAGCTGTGCAATACGGACACGCTTTTGCGGGCTCTCGTGCGTTTGATAAATTACCGTGCCGAAGAACTTAGTCTCCCGTGTTGCCATTTTGGTGCTCTTGTGTGGTGTTCGAGTACAGAGGGTGATCTTGTCCGACTCCAGGTCGTTGAGCCCAGGGTACAGACGAGGACGAGGAGGACGGACTGATGTCGCGGGACAACAAACGACGGTGTGGTGCCCGTTTCCATTTGTATAAGCTACAAATCCGCGTTGCTCAAGTCTCGTGTTGAGGCTGGTCGTTGTATTTAGCGTTTTATTAATGATGGCAAAGACGCGTTCTTCGCCCGTATTTAGAGTTTTCGACAGCTGCCAGAATCGGGCCTCACGGGGCTTCGTGGTAGTGTTCGTAGGTGAAGTGCATAAAAAATAAGCGTTAATCGAGTACGATCGAGCCTTGGAGTGGCGGTGTCGCGCCAAGTAGCATTTTCGTGACGTTCTCTATGTTAAATTGTAATTGTTTGCGTGTGTCGCGATTAGTGTAGCGTACCGCTTGCATACCGTCAGCTATCGCCTAGCGGCGGCGATCAGCTGACGCGGGGATAAATATTCTGACAAACTCGGATTTTTTTGCGCAATCGGCCGGAGTGAAGTGTGTGCAAGTCGGAAGCGGCGTAGATCCGAAGCGAATTGATCCGTACCGATTTAAAGTTTGCATTAATTGTCATTGCGGGCGGTAAATTTCTGAGACAAGTATCGCCGACGGATTCGCGAACGTACTGTGAATGCGTGTCGCGTATTAGCGTGTATATTTTGTCCGGAGGATTCGCGTTCAAATAACGTATCATACCGTCTATCTTCCTAGCGCCGAGACAGCGCGTGTCGTTAATCTTTCTGTAATAATCGAAAAACGAAATCGAGCCCTCAGAAGGCGCGCCCGCTTCGCTCTTTCCTGCGACCATTGGTTGAAAACAATTACATGAAAAACTAGCTGATCGCTGGGTCCCGAATGTTCTGCGGACTTGGAATTGAACACCGGCGAAAGGACTCGAGGTGAGTCCATCAGATGGATCAAATTGCGAAGGCCAGTGCGACAAGTAAATCCATGTGGATTTGCGGCTTATAAAGAGTCTGCTGCGCGCTAATTTATCCTTGCTTATTGCTTGCAACGCACATCTTGCGCCCGTTTGCCTGCTTAACCTGCGTCTAGCTTTGCGCCCTACGATTGCTATATTCTCGTGCCTGGAACTGCAATCTTCTCGCCAAATGTAATTATTAAAATCCGCCGTTTAGCACTTTTGCGGTATCGTTCCGATTAAATTATTTATCTCGTCGATTAGCGTGATTTGGTTTGTTATTTGTCGGAACACGTTGTTTGTTCGGTATCTTTTTTTTTATATTATTTTGTATTATACTGTCTTATCTTATTCTTTCTTGTATTTCTTTTATATCATTTTGTATTACACTTTCTTCTAGTATATTTTATGTAACTTTTTAAATATTATTTTGTATCCTAATTTTTCTGAGCTGGCTAACTTCTACCCGTACAATAAATTGTTAATTCATTCTGTTTACCTCTGATTTTTTTTAATTATCTGAGCCTTCATATCGCGAAAGTAAGGCACAGTCTGCATTACGAATTTTTATTAAACTCAGCCTTTCTCCGTTCAAATAGAGCTAGTCGGTTTGTTGTGTCGAGCGACGCAGATTTTTGACGCGGTTCCGCGTCTGGCGCCCTAAACTCTTACCAAGTATCCGTCGGCTCGGCGCAGTGGTGTGCTCGTTTTACAACCCTTTTTTCTTCTGCCTATATAGACGTTTTTGATCTTGCGGACTTCCGTTTGTGTCGCGATTTCGTACTTCCGTTTCGGGCGGAGCGACGCGAGAAACTTGTAAGAACCAGGGTTCGGAAACGCACACTCATGTGCGCACTTGCTCATGTGCGATAAATGATGTGCGTTATCGAACGCACACGTTTGTGTGCGATATGTGATTGTTGTCGACAAGCGCACACATACATAAGTTGTGTGCAATTGGAAAATTCAATGTGCGCACATGAGCGCACATGAGCACACATAAGCGCACATGAGCGCTGAATACTCTCACGCTCATGAGAATGTGCATGTATTTTTATGATTTGATTCATGGTTTATAAGTATAGATGCTGAAAAAAAGCTCACTGAATTCTAGAGCAAGTTCTGAAAAAAAGGTGATAATATTAAATGTGATTATCGATTCCAATCAATTAAACATTTAATTTTTATTTTGTTCACCTTTCAATTTCCTTTTACTTGTTAGATTCTGCTTCCTTCTATTCGTGTAACTTTTTATTGTTTAATTTAGAATCATATACGACCCATATATGATTCATATAAATCATAAATTATATAAATAAACATTGAAAAAGCGACTGCTCACATAAAACTGATAAACATAGAATCTACAGCATATCTATTCACAAGTCAAGTTATCGATTCAGTTCTTTTAGATAAAGGTACGATCAGTACATCTCTTTCGGGTATACAGTTAGCATTTTTTATTTTACATGAGAAACTGCAATATCTACACTTTTGACAATATTTACAATGTAAAGCTTGCTCTAGGATTCAGTGAGCTTTCCTTCAGCATCTATACTTATAAACCATGAATCAAATCATAAAAATACATACATATTCTCATGAGCGTGAGAGTATTCAGCGCTCATGTGCGCTTATGTGCGCTCATGTGCGCACATTGAATTTTCCAATTGCACACAACTTATGTACGTGTGCGCTTGTCGACAACAATCACATATCGCACACAAACGTGTGCGTTCGATAACGCACATCATTTAT